TCTACCACTTGAGCCACAGCGCCACTTCCGGCTTTTTTCTTTTTGCTTATGTGGTGCTGAGGAATGGAACCCAGGGCCTCATGCATGCAAGGCAAGCGCGACCACTGAGCCACCTTCCCAGCCCTGGTTAAAGCTTTCTGTTCCCCATTATGGAACTAGTGAGAACAAGTGTTTTTCAAATGTTTAAAATAAAACTCTTTTGTCTTTTCATTTTGGTGAGAATTATTTTTTTTCTTGTAAATGGAAAGTATTTCACTTAAAGACTTTTCCTAGTGGAAAGAAACATTTTTCCCCCCCTCAGGTAACTTTATGTTTGGATTCAGTATTCTTTTTACCACATAAGGGATATAAACACAACTATCTTGCTAATTTTTAAATATGTAGGGAATGCTGTCAGTATAGGAGCTGAACATTAGTTAAGAGAAGAACTGAGGCCTGGGAATGTGGTATAGAATGGTAGAGTGGCAGAGTGCTTGCCTAGCATGCATGAAGCCCTGGGTTCAATTCCTCAGTACCACATAAACAGAGAAAGCTGAAAATGGTAGAGAGCTAGCATTGAGCAAAAGAAACTCAGAGACAGTGCCCTGAGTATAAGCCCCAGGACTGGCCAAAAAAAAAAAAAGAGAGAGAGAGAATTGACCAGACATATCAATTAATTCTCTCTCTCTCTCTCTTTTTCCCCCATCTCTCTCTCTCTTTCTTTCCCCCTTGCCCCCCACACTCTCTCTTTCCCAAATATAAAGACAGTACATTTTTACCCGACCAACTGAATCAAGTGTAACACTGTGAGGAATGTTGAACTTAGCAGGTCCTGTTCCATTTTCTCCACGCAGCCAAAGGATCATGAAATCTATAAATAGTAAGTACATATGGTCAGTGCAGTATATAGAATTGTGTCTCTGAATGCTATATTTCACAACATAAATTTTCAAAAAGCACACCCTACTGACTTGACTGTGCTTTCTTGGCTTTCTGTCTGTTGATCCACTTGCCTAACTCCTCCATTACTACAAGCAATTAGGGCACTTTTGCTATCTCTGCTTGATGACTGCTTCGAATTTACTTGCTTTTTAATTTTGTTATTTCACTGAGCTTAAAATGTTATTTCATTGGGCTGACATTTTTATAGTCTGTCTACCTTATTAATCACTCTAGGGAGGGCTAAACTGTGGTCCTCCAAAAGATACGTCCATGTACCTGTCACCTACTTTAGAAATGGAGCTTTCATTAAGTTAGGTATCCAAAGATGAGATTATCCTAGATTTAGAGTAGGCCCTAAATCCTCCTCCTAAGAGAAGGAATATAGAGATTTAAGCAACAAAGGGGTCATATGACAGAGGCTCAGACTATAGTTATACTGCCATGAGCCATGACGGTAGAACAAGCAAGGAACAACTTCCCCTAGAACCTTTAGAGGTCACTTCAACCTACTCAATTAATTTCAGACTTCAGGATTTCAAAAGTATCAGAATATATTCCTGTTGTTTAAGATCACCTCGTTTGTAGCTTTTTTTTTTTTTAATAGCAGCCACAGAAAACCAATAGACCCATATTCAATCTGTCTCCTAAGTTTGATTGTTCACTCCTTTCATACAACTTTTTGGACCGCTGTTTTACCCTGTCTTACCTTCCTTTTAACTGATAATTTCCAATACAATTTCTTATATGGTAAGCTAACTACATAGCCTCCAAATAACAGCACTCACTAACAATGTCCTCATGTCTTATAAAATCTGTTTCTGGAACATTACTTTCCTATTAAAACCTCAAAAAGAGCTGGGTTCCATTGGCTCACACTTGTAATCCTAGTTACTCAGGAGCCTTGAGTGCTGAAGTTCAAAACTAGCCTGAACATAAAAGTCTGTGAGATTCTATCTTCAATTAACCAGCAAAGTACCAGGCTGGAGGCATGAATTAAGTGGTAGAACACCAACCAAGCAAGTGCAAGCCAGAGCACTAGCAAATGGTCTAGTTTAAACTCCAGCCCTAGCAAAAAGAAAACCAACCAACCATACAAACAAAACCACAGAAGACTACAACATAGGCAAAATATAGCTTCAAGAGTCCTCAGATAATCTTTCTACTATTCCAGAAGCACATTTCCAGCTAATGACCTTTGTAAACCTCACAGGATAAAGCCTCCAGGACTGCTCTGCCCACCCTTTTCTTCGTTTACCAAAAGTAGGGTGGCCCAAGGACTTTATAACATCTCAGCCCATTTCTCTGGACCAATTAGTGGTCCTACTCCTAAATTCTATTTTATTTTAAAAATTGCCACACATTACATTTAAGTGTCTCATCCATAACATAAAACAGACTTTCCCCTATAGTCACTACCAGGAAGTCTGGCATTGGATAAATTGCTAATGGATTGATCAGCCAACAGGCTACCTGACTCTGGGGAGGAGCCCAGAGTGTTAGGAGTTCCTAACATTTCCATTCTTAATTGAGTAAGAGATCCACTATCTCTATACCCACCCACCCACCCAGTTCCTTCAATGAAAAACCAGCAGGCCTGTAAGCACATTCATTTATTACTGGCAATCCTAGCCACCTGTTTTTTTTTACTGTATTCCTAATGCACATTATATGGTCTTTATGCCAAGTATCAAATAAATCCCATTTATAAAGTAATATTCTCATAATTAACATTCAAAAGTAAGCCACGTACTTTGGGACAGTTTGATCAATCTGTTATTTAATCCTCCATCCCCATCCACAATGTAAATATCTTCTGTGTCCTCCACATACAGTTCTGCAGGGTTATCAAACTGCAGGGGATTCAAAGCCGTGCCTTTTTTGCCTGGAGTACCCAAAACTTGAACGAGATCACCAAAGGAATTGTATTTTTTAACAGTATGACCATAGGATCCTGTAAAGACAGATGTTCATGTCTCACAAATAAAATCACTATACCACCTCTACACTTTTCAAGTAAGGAAAAATTTGATATAAACTAAAAAAGGTCGACAGGCTCAGATAACTGTTAATATTGACATCAAATAGAGTTTCTTTATAAGTTACAGCCAGATTTTTGATGAATAAAATCTTAATTACTCCAAAACAGATTATAAATTCAAATAAATAACCAAAAATGTTTATTACACAGAAAGCTGATGAGGTTAACAAATTATTGGTGTGCCATTTTCATTTTCAGATGCATGGCCTTGCTTATTAAAAAGAATCAAGAAATAACTGTAAAAGAAGTAACTTATAGTTGAAGGTATTTCAATCAGTCATGTGCAGCTATTTTTTAAAAAAATATGTATTCTTCTAGTGTAAATCAATTCAAAATTGAACCCACTAAGTATTCCTTTGAGGAGGAAAATAATCTTTGAGTTTAAGTGATTTTTATGGACAAAATAAGTAGAACATGAGTAAACAAGGGAAAGACAAACACTTAACAGAAATCAACTTGAAGGCATGTGAGGTAAAATTCATGAACAGGTATTCCAAAGACTAACTGGATATACTTGGCTTACTAGTTATAAACTGAATCACCATGCATTACAAATTATATCTTAAGAAATATATTTATTATACTTAATCTACACATTTAAAATTTGCAGCAGTAGCTGGACACTGGTGGCCCACATATAATAATCCTTCCTACTCAGGAGGCTGAGGTTTGAGGATTGGGTTTTGAAGCCAGTCTAGACAAGAAAGTCTGTGAGATTCTTATCTCCACAATTAACTATCAAAAAGCCAGCAGAGAAGCTGTAGCTCAAATGGTAAAGTGCTAGCCTTGAGAAAAGGAGCTTAGGGACAGTGCTCAGGCCCTGAATTCAAGCTCTAGGACTGGCGTGTGCACATACATACACACACACACATGTGCAGAAGTAAAAAGAGAACAAAATATTACAGAAAAAGCAAACAGTTCCCGAACTTCCTCTAAAACTCAGTAGATGAAATCAATTCCTTGGAAAAAATGAGAAGGAACATAAAATTTGTTTTTTGGATCTGTGCATGGAAAAAAAAGATGCAGTGGAAAGAATGAAGTTTTCCTATGTGCTATTTTTTTTCTTTCTGAGAATCAGTGAAGTTCTACATTAGAAAAAGATGACATGTAGAGAATAAATTAAAAGTGAGGGCTATTAACAATGAATTCACTGTCAATGAAAATAAGGCAGGGAAGCAAAAATAGTCAAATCTCATTACAATTTTATACCAACTCAGGTACTACAAATTTTTTATAACCATAACTTTATCCCCCAAAATGAAGCTTAAAATAGTTATCTACCACCCAAGGCCCAGAAATCTTTTATGTTCTGAGAACAAGTTTGACAATGTCTCTACTTATAGAAATCAAGAACCTCTTAATTTACACACACACACACACACACACAAAATGGTACCTGAATTATCCAGAACTAGAGAAGCAGTATGTCCTTCAAGTTAAGAACCTAACTTAGAGCCAGATGCTTAAGGCTCATACCTACAATTCTACTATCCAGGAGGCTGAGATCAGTCAAGGCAGGAAAGTCCAAGAGATGCAATTTCCAAAATATTAGGGAAAAAACTTGGGCTAGAGGCATAGCTCAAGTGGTAGAGCACCACCCAAGCAAGTGTGTGTGTTAAACACAGAGTTCAAACCCCACCCTGGAAAAAAATATCTTAAAAATGAAAGAACATAACTGAGCCAAAGAACACTACAAATACGACATTTATGATTTCATTCCTTCTGAATTCTTAAGGTAATCTAGGCTATCTCTCCTACTAGCCGGTCTTCACCAGCACAGATAAATTTGCTTTTTCTGAGAAGTTTCTTCATAGCTGTAGATTCAATTGTGCTTTCTTTGTTTTTAGACATTGTCAACTAAAAATATTTGACAGAGGAAAAGATTTCAGATATGCTTTGGTCAGTGTAATTTCAAAATCATTAACCTCAGTTTCTGCAAATCTTTGCACTTGAGGCAGCAAAGTAATAATGGCTTGTTAGCACAAGCCCTTCTAAAAGAAAACTTGTCAAAGAAAATGAGAAGAAATGAACTTGATCATTCTGAGTTGCCATTTTATTTGACTTTGCATGACAAAATACAGACTTATTTGAGAAAAGCAACTGATAGTTTAAAGAAAGATCCCTTGAGTAATTTCCTTGTTCATTTATTCTTCACTGCAATAGAATTATTAAAATTTGGCAATTCTGATTTCAAAATGCAGAAGCAAGGACCTGAGCAAAGAGCACGGCGTTGAGTAATTTAATGCATATTACTACACATACCACTTCCTACATCCGTGATCCAGACGGATTGTTCGAGTGGTGTGCTGGATGCGAACATACCATGAGGTGTGTCAACTGTGTGATTCCAAGATCGTAGTAAATATCCGTCCTCTGTGAACACTAATACTTTTGGTATGTTATCCCCTCTCTGAAGGTATACAAAAATAACTGCTTAGTTATGTAGGATCCATTTTAAGGAATGATCATCTTTATTTTGTAAGAGATAAAAAGGTTCATTTTGAAAATTCGTAATGTTTAAAAAAACCCAACTTCAAAACCTAAGTTAAACCTGACTTATGTTAACTCTAACCAATCTGCATTATCACCATTATAATAACAATAATAAGAATTAAAATTTTTAAACAATCTAACAGCTAACAGCTATTACATTCAAAACCAATTTACCTGACGCCAATTCAAAATTAAGTTGCATAACTAGCATAATATAAATGCATATGGCTACTTACAGATCACATATATACACATCTATATGGAAGAAAAACGGGAATCCATTGTTTCCTTTTATAGTCTTGGGGGCAAAATCCACATTTTACTTACTTGGGCCACGTAAACCAACCCGTTGAGGGAATCAACTGCAACACAAAATGTCACGCCGGTGAAGGATTCTGAAAACCTAGGCCAACCCAAATCCAAGCGATAAAGCATTTTCTCCGTACTCCACTTTAGAAAAGGGCGTTTCTTTAAAACCTTCAATAAAACCAGAAGATTAGGACAGTGTAAGAAAAAACAGGGAGGGGAAAGAAATGACCTTAGCTCTTTCTCTCCCCTCTCCTCCCCTCCCTTTCCCTTTTCCTTCCCTCCTTCCCTTTCTCCCCCTCCTCTCTCTCTCAGGAGGGGAAAAATGAGGCCCCCCTATCCCTTCCCGCTCCCCACTCCCCTCTGGTGCGTGTGGGGAGGGGCGTTATATATGTATCTACCAGGTGTACCAGTGCTGGGGCCTGAGCGCTGTGCTTGAGGGTTTTTTTGAAGGCTACCATTTTTATTTTTTAGCAATTTCAGTCTTTTTGCTAGTTAAATCTGAGAAAAAGTCTCCAGGACTTTCTGGCCCGGGCTGGCTTCGAAACCGCAATCCTCAAGTCTCGTATTCCTGAGTAGCTTGGATTACAGGTGTGAGCTACCGGGGAGCGGCGAGGCTTACTTATTTTAAGTATGTCTTTCCACAGCCTGAGGGCTAGCTGCACTGACTGAAATGATTCCATAGAAATAGTGTTGTTGTTAACGTCTAAAGACCAGAACGCACATAGAATAAGTGTGCAAATGACCTGAGTGTGGCAGGGGCAGCTGACGGTGTGGAAATGTCGCTACCATACTCGTTAACACTGAAAGACAAGATGAACGGTCCGAGGTCCGGCCCCCGGGCAGCGTTTGAGGCCCGCCAGCAGGGCGGGAGCCCGGACCACCTTCGGAAGAGCACCTCTCCCGGGCTGTCCGCACCCCGTCGCCGCGCAACTCACCGCAGGGCCACAGAAATGCGAGTGCAGCACCAGAGAGGCGAAAAACAGGGCGACCCCGGCCGCGCAGACCCAGCATCTCGCCATGGCCGGAGAGCAGCATCCGCAAAGGTCCGAGCGCTCGGTGGCTCACAATCCCGGCGATCCGCCCGGAAGTCCCGCGCTAACGCTTCGATTTCCAGAGCTCCAGGCAGGAGCCTCGGGCTTTCAAAGCCAAAATGCGAACAGAAAAGGAAAAAAGCAAAACGCCCAAGCTTCGCAGTTCCGCACGCAGCCGTCAGCCCCGAGGCCCCGCCCCCACGTCAGGTGCTCAGATGCCTGTCACGTGACTGTTTTGCCCCGCCTCCACCCCACCCCGCCCGGGAGGGTCTACGCTGTAGACGTCTCCCGGACAGCAAACTGGGGTGTCCCGTGCATATTCCTTACTCATTTGCCACTCATTCTTTTAAATGCAGGTTCAATAAGGAAGGCACGACTTCTAAAAAGGAAGACTAAGGGGGAGAGCATGGTGGCGCTACAACTGCCAGACTCTGAGGACAATTCAATCCGCATTCGTTTCCAAAACATTCAGGCATTGCCTGTAGACGTCTATGTTCCCACACTAGGACCCAGGAGCCTCCTTTTTTTTCCCCCGCCCCCCACACGCCCTCCGCCGCTTTTAGAAAACTGGAGCCCCTACTGGCGGCACGAAGTTTACAGTTACTGAGCGCGACGCGGAGTACGGAAGGTCCCCCGAGCCGGTGGGGACTCTAGGGCTGATCCAGTAGTGCGCCTGGCGCGTTAGGGTGCTCCGGCCTTCGCGAGTCCCCCGGTGTGAAGCCGAGCTCCCCGCCGCCCGGCTCCTGCTTGCTCTCCGGCCGGCGGCTCGCTTCCCGAGCACCACGGAAGCTGGTAACAAAGAGCCTGCCGGGCCTCCGGAGACCGGAGTTGTGTGGCACCCCGGAGTCGGGCGGAGCGGCCGGGGATGAGCGGGAGCCTGGCGGTGAATCCCGGATCGCGGCGGTGAGGCGCACCGGTGCGGGCGCTGGTGCGGGCCTGGAGGCCGCCGAGGGGCGGGGGAGAGTCGGGGCGCCGGGGCCGCTGCGGTCGCGGAAAGTGGCCCCGCGGCCTTGTGGTCCTCGCGCTCCAGCTCCGCGCCGGAGCCCGGACTTGGCCGCGAGGCTCTGCCCTTCCCCGGGACGCCGTGGAGCTCGGTGTGGAGTTGGCTGCGGAAGCCTCCCGGCGGTGGCTTTCATCTATTTTTGGTGGTGGTTGCCTGAAAGTTTTTCCCATCCGCGTTTTAATGCGTTGACGGAGTTTGCAGTACTCTACCTCTTCACGACCCCTCCATCCCCCATCCCGAGTGCTTTCCTTCCTGGACTGTAAACGTGTTTTCCTCCTACCGGCGCTGATGACCAGAGATGAAGATTTTATAGTTGTCTAAAAACTACGTCGAGATAGGGCTCAAGATGGATAAAAAGTCCTTTGAGACGGTGCTGGATGAAATCAGGAAGGTAATGACACCCCAGCCGCTTGGAGACTGGAATACTGGCGGGGAGGGGGGGGGGTGGTTGCTGGTTTGTTTCGAGGTACTGCATGTGGGGGCGTGCAGAAACTAATTGCTTCAATGCATTGGCAATTTCACGCGTGGTGTGGAAGCTACGTCTTGATGCGTTTCACGGTGCGTCTTTGGAAGTCAGTGAGGCATTGTGGAAATTCAGATTTACCTTTGGTTTCCAAGCTGTTTCCGCAAATCTCTGTTCTTCAGGATAAGAAACTTAAATAAGTAGAAATGTTCTTTGTGGTAATTCCTAGGATTTCTTTTTTTTATCTCAAATCTGAGGATGGGGTGACCTATAGGGACTTGTTCAGTAACTAGTGTGACGTTAAGTGTACAGCCACGTTGTGGGGAAGGGATCTTCAGTAACTTGAACTTTGTTTCTTTGCGTGGAGGAGTCCTCCACTCTTGATTTACAAGGTTATTTTGAATCTCCTACTTCCCATAATCTACCAGAAGCATTCTGGGTAGAGTCTACACGTATCTCCAGCACCCCAAGAACCTACCTACTTAAAACTAAAAGAACTTGGAAGAGGGCGCCAAGGGCTAGTAATGGGTATTTCTATGCCTTAAGCCCTTTAACCCCAAAAGAATCCAAACTGGGTGCTTTGGTACTACTGATTGTTTACTTCAGTTTACGAAGCTGCTAGTTTTCCTTTTTTATTTATTTTCTTTTGCAAATTGGCCATTATTAATTTTTTTTTATTTAGTTTGTTTTTAAAAAAAAGATTTAAAATTTGGAAACTTGCAAATCCAATTTCTCCAGTTAGTATTTGGAATGAAATATTGGTTTGCCAGCTGTGTATACCTGGAATTTGTCAAATTTGTTCATGAATTGATGTTCAGCTTGTCTGAGAAAATACCTTGTAAATTCAAGCAGACCAGTAGATTTTCTACTTATAGCTGATACAGGGTTTCAGTATGAATATCCTCTCCCTTAGTGTTGTTAAAATGCCCTATAGTAAATAGAAATGAGGGGTACAGGACATTTTCCAGAGATGAAAGGTATTTGAGTGTGGTGGCAACTTCAGTTATTCATGCTCTGCTCTTTGTGGATGCTCTTTTGCTTCCTTGGCCTAAAGATTGGGTGCTTGTCTAAAATACTTTAAAGTGGAATGCAGTAGGTGCGTTCCTGAATATGGCTTTGCTATGGTTTGTCTTTAAATGTAAATGTCCAATTAAACTGGTCTTGTGTCTCTCCTTATTTTGATTGTCACCATTGTCATTTAAAACAAGTTAGTAGACTTTTAGGAATGGAGATGAGAGTGAGGGCTTTGTTGAATTTGAAGGTAACTTTAGCCCCTAATTGTGAGTACTTAATGTTGGAGTCATTTTTTTAGTTACCCCTGAGGGAGAGACTGATGGTTTTATAGGCGGCCCACCTAGTTTCTGTTGGTTAGTTTGACTGAGTGAGATTAAGCAGTGGGTGGTAGGGTGTGTAGTATTCAATCTGAGGAAGTCTGGCTGAAGCTTGGCACTTGGTGCTGGAGGCTAGGTATTTGAATCTGAATTGCTAACACTTTTTTCCTCAGTTTCTGTGAGGAGCACCCTGGGGGTACCAGTAATTAATGACATTTTCTCCTGCCAGAATCAAATATTTGGACTAATACAAATACTGTAATTGTTTCAGTGTAAGAACAAAAGTATTAGTTCATTTTTAGTTATTAGTGACTCCCAAGTTATGGTAGCTGAGCATTTCTGTCTCTCAGTAAGGAGCTGGAAGTGTTGATGTGATTTCAGTTGTCCAGGTCCTGTACTTCTCTCACATACTGTTCCAGAGCAAAGAAACTGGTTACTGAACAGCTGTTGTGGGTCAGATCAGATTTTGTCTTGCACTTTCTTTGAGGTGGGTCGTGAATGATGCTTTAAAGGAATGAAAATGTCTGTCAAAGTCTGATGTCAGTGAGTGGCAGACCCAGACATTGTTTGAGGTGTTTGCTGAAGGCCTCAACCTGACTTTGTAGTCTTGCTTTTTTTTTTAATCACTGGACGTTCTATACATTTAATACATTACGAAATGACAAATAGTTTAGGTGGGAAATACTATATGTAATTTCTCCCATTATTGACTCTTCCTTGTTAAAATGGTACTTTCTTTGTAGGAGTGAGTAGGGAGTCCTAGGAGGCTTTCGGCATTCTCTCTCACTCTCCCTACCTCCCTCCCCTCCTCTCCCTTCCTCTCCCCTCCGCTCCCCTTCTCTCCCCGCTCTCCCCTTCTCTCTCCTCTGTCTCTCTCCCTCACACCCTCCTTCTTCCTCCCTTTCCCTCTCCCTCCCCTCCTCTTTCCCCCCTTCTCTCTGTAGATGCTGTTGAGTTGCTTGAACAGTTTGGTATATGTATATATTAATACTGCTTTTCTTTTCTAGGCTGTCTTGACAGAATATAAATTAAAAGCAATTGAATACGTGCATGGATACTTCTCTAGTGAACAGGTATTCCTTGTCTAAGCCTTCTCCCTAGACTAGTGTTCTGGTTAATATATGTATTTACCTGCTAGTCAAATACAGAGTTGCTTTTATTTTGTTGCTATAGTTATCCAGGAGCTTAAGAAACTCAGCAGAAAACTTTACAGATTTTAATAAGTCAAAGATACTTTGTGAACCTACCCTTTATAAGACAATAATTTGCAAAATTGACTTGATATAAAAGAATGCATAAAGGTTGTATGACGCCACTAACTAAACTGCGGCATTAAGGGAAAAGATACACAGTGTCCTAATGATTCCCTTACTGTCTCAAGAAGACTAATGTGTTAAACATGAATAATTTAGTGAACACTTTCCACCCCACTTCAGGGAACTTTAATGATTTTTAGAAAAGTGTTTGTACATATAAATGTGCACATATGCAGAGTGAAGGACAATTTTTATTAGCTTATGTTAGTTATACAAGGCAGGATTTCATTGTTACAGCTCCACACATTTACATTGTGTTGTAATCAATCTCACTTCTACTGTCCTCCTGCCCCCCAACTATCCCGAGTGAAAAGTTCTATCACCAACAGTTTTCCTTGTCCCATTGTCATATTACAAACTTATAGTATCCAGTGTCCTTGAGGACAGTGTTTGAGTAATGCTAGGAAGGGTCTTGCTAGAAATCAGAAATAATTGTGGAGGGCAGTTCTGTGATGGACTTAGAGACTGGATTAGTAAACACCCACTCTCTTTCTCGAGGGCTTGAAAAGTATCAAGAACTTCAAAGGCCTAAAGGGCTGTCAACCAAGTTCTTAAAGCTCTTTTTTGATGTACATCTGTTACTATCCTTTTAATGTTGATTTTTAGTTTTCCCATGGTTTTACATAGTTATCTATGTTCTTTACATGTTTTGAAAATAAAAGTTATAGTCAATAGCTGTGTGTAAGGGGTGTGTGTGTGTGTGTGCAAGAGAGATTGATTTTATAATCTTAGTGGTGCTTCATTTTGTTAAAATCATTTAAATCTTTAAAGCTAAGTCCACCTGCTGCATTAAAAGGCTAGCAGTTTAAGTTTTATAATATATAAAATACAGCCTTGAATATGAAGTAGGAATACCATTTCCATAGAAAAAATTATAGCTTCATTCCAAATGAACTAGGAAGTATGAAGAACTCTGTTTACTGTTTGTGTGTTGCTTTATAAGAAAAGTATTTTCACTTTCTTTACATCCTGCTTAATTAAGTTGTAGAATTAAAATGTTAGCACATTTTAAGGCCCTCATAATAAGGTAGTTGACCCAGTTTTGTGATGTAGTATTTATTTATTTATTTATTGAA